TATACCAAACATTACACATGATGTGAAAAATGGTGTTATTAATTGCGATAATCTAATAAGGGAAAAAAATAATTTCATCTAATTACATAAATAAATAAAACTAAGTTGTTAATCTTGAAATAAATGAGAAAATAAGAAAGTCTCACAAATTGAACTTTATCGCCATGTATGGCAGTCGCCGGAAAACCAATCCGGCAAAGCCAGTTTTCCAAAGTATCTGCAGCCCGTTTCGTCTCCACAAAAATCACAATCAATGCATTCTGAATCAAATCAACAAACGACAAGAAAATTATAAAAACATTTACACCAATTTCAAAAGAGATAATCGATCGTATGATTCATATCTACCTTTCCTAGGTTTCCATTAGCTTTCTGATCATGAAGAACATTTCTTAAATACTCGCGTTTTTCCTCATCCTCGACAAATACGACTTTTTGAACGATCAAATCGGTGCTAGAACCGACTCTTCCCACCGAAAGAAATATGTAGTTTGAGAGAAAATCAGACGCAAGCCTCTGCAAAATAAAAGTTCATCCATTAATGGTGTACGATTGTTTATGTTTGTGTAGATTTTAAATCAATTTGATTAAACTAACCTGAATTTCAGAGGGGAATGTCGCGCTGAAAAGCATTGTTTGTCTTTGACCAGGAGGAGGCATATCCAAACACTCAACGATCTTTCTGATTTGGGGTTCAAATCCCATATCCAACATTCGATCGGCTTCATCTAACGCCAGATGTTTGATCTTTTTGAGCGACACTCTTGATCTTTCGATCATGTCAGTTAAACGTCCAGGAGTCGCCACTAGTATATCCACACCCTTTTCAAAGGAACGTAACTATCACCAATATCGAAGAACAATGAGTCCGATTAGATTCGAATATCGGGAACGGAGGATAAAAATGAAGAAATTGACTAAATCCATGTTCTAATACAAACCTGGTGTTGAATCGGCGCACCTCCATAAGCAACAGCAACTTTGACACCAGTTTGATGGCAGAATTTCTTAGCTTCTTCGAAAATCTAAAACAGATAAAACTCAAAAATCAAAGATCCAAACATATGATAAAGTATAAAGTTCCATAAAAAAAATATGAGCAAGCACTACAGAAACTTACGAACAAAAAAAGCAAATCAAACCCTTAAATGATAGCTAAAAATGTAGCAAAACGTACAGTGATATGAACAATCATCGATCATGAATGCAAAACATGATACACATGAGAGTTGTGAAAAGAATGGCATAATGAACAGAAACAAAATAGTGAAGAAAATGGAATCATGGAGTTCACCTGACAACAGAGTTCCCTGGTCGGAGACAAAATAAGAGCGAGTGGGTACGACACCATCTCCCTGCGTCCGTACGGCACCGGCGACTGTATTTTCAGAACGCCGCAGATGATCGGAAAGCAAAACGCCGCCGTTTTCCCCGACCCGGTCTGTGCACACGCCATTAAATCTCGTCCGGCCAAAGCTACAGGTATGGCATGGCGCTGAATCGGCGTCGGCTTCACGTACTTACACCTGTTCTTAATGTTATCGTTCAAGGAGTCACCTAAATCGATATCTGCAAACGTGTTCACTGGTTTGGGTACATCGGACCCGGTAATCTCAACGGGTATATCTTCATATGCATCGAAATTGATCGCCATACTCTTGTTTTCCGTTTCAGAAACTTCAAGTTCATTAAACTTTTCGGTGAGATTATCGTACTGGTTATGAGTTCTCGCATGTTTGTTAGGGTCATGGAACTCTTTATCGACCACAGAGTAGCCGCGTACGAAACCACGACCACCGCCTCTACTACCCCCACCGCGGCCACGGCCGCGGCCGCTACCATTGTTTCCGGTTTGATAACCGTACCTGGTGGTTTCATCTGCATTGTAGTTGTTTCTCTGGTGTGGTGGAACATAGTTAGGTCGACCACGTACGGATTTCGCAGCCATCTCTGCGTAAGAATCGGAGAAGAACGAATGCGACATGATTTCGTAAGAGTTGAAATGACCTAAAAGATATAGATTACAAAATGCAAAAGGGTATTAAACCCTATACTATGAGCTTGCTATAGTACTGTAGGGGGAGGATATGATTGTGATATATAGGTGAAGAAGATCAAGAGATTGATCGGAAGGAGAAAGGTCGTTTTGTGAGGTGTACTGCAATGGTAATGGTGTAGAAGAAGAGGGTTTTGGGAGTTTTCATGAGTGCAAAAAACCCTATTTTAAGAAGGATGAGGAGATGATGGGTTGGTTTTCATGGCGGAGAGAGAGAAAGCTCCGGTGAAAATGGAAGTTAAAAAGGGGAAGGAGGAAGGGAGTGGGTGGCAGAGGGTTACCGTACTTTTTGGAGCGTGAAGTCCAATCACCTGCAACAGCAAAATATCTGTAGATAACAAAATTTAAATAACAAGGAATTTGTATTTGTAGCTTTGTGATTATATCATCGTATTAAGTTTATTTGATCGAACAAACGAATATAATCACTTTTTCTTTAATGTATCAAAATATAACTTAATGTTTTATGTTTTTATAAATAATAGATAATATATAGCCCATAATTTGTAAAATTTTCATTGTGAGTTTCATTATTAACTATGAAAACAATTGCTTGTTTGATATTCATTAAAATTAAGAAAAATAAATTTGGTAATTTTGATTTGTTGTCTAAAATAAAATGATCATTATATATTTTTAATTATTTTTATCTTTTATAGTTTTTTATATATTTAAAAGACGAAATTGCAAAAATGGTCTTTGTGGTATATATATTTTTTCTGGGTTTTCGACTTTTTTGGTTTTGTGGTCCTTTTAATTATGTTTCTAGATGGAAATAGGCCCTTCGAAAATTAAAAATAACTATTATACTCTTTTATTTTTATTTTATATTTTTTAATACCTATATTAATATTTTAATAATAATAATTAAAACAATAGAATGGCTCTCTCTCTCTCTCTCTCTCTCTCTCTCTCTCTCTCTCTCTCTCTCTCTCTCTCTCTCTCTCTCTCTCTCTCTCTCTCAATCAATATTTTTGAGTTTATTTTATGCAAATTGAAACCCCCTAAGTTTATGTCTGTTTTTTCTCTTTGAGTAAATCGATCCACCACCCAAAAACACCTGCAAGATCGAGAGATTCACCCTTTGTGATTGCACCAACCTTTGATCTGAATAGTAAAAAGTTAATGACGAACAACCTTTTTATTCATCGGTATGTGTGTGTTCTCACTCCCATCTAACTCATAATGCAAGGGTAAAAGAAAGGACTCCAGAACAGAGGTTCTGCTCGTTTTTGTATGCCTCTGTTAAGAATCGATAATTGCAGAAAATTTTTGAAGAATAAGGGTTGTTGGCCTGTTGTTTAAGTGTGTATTTGTATATCTCCATCTTGATCTGGTAAAGAGAATTCTGATGAAAAGAAGTGCCCTATTGCTGACATGAATCAAATCGTTTCAACCAACAAAGTGCTAAATCGGATGAGAAATCAAGGGTTTTCACAGAGGGGTTCATTGTGGAAGACGATGAAAAGTACTTGCCTCAATCAAGTATGCTCAGATCTTGTTCCTCAATAGCTTCATTTTTTCCATATCTCCGTTCTTCCATAGATCCAGAAAAAACAAGGAGAACGTTAACGAAATCGTTGTTGGTGGGTTTGGGTTGCAAGGAGGAAGAACAAAGGGAAGGGAGCGTATGTTCTTGATTTTATTATATATATATATATATTATATATATATATATATATATATATATATATATATATAGGACAGCATAAACCGAAACCGAAATAAAAACCGATGGTGTGGTTTTTAGTTTTGCAAAAAACCGAAAATGCTCACTGTGGTGCGGTTTCTAGTATTGCAAAAAACCGCAAAAAACCAAACTGCACCGCATATATATATATATATATATATATATATATATATATATATATATATATATATATATATATATATATTAAGTGTTGATATTTGTAAGAACGGATAACTTGTGACAATTAAAATTTCTATAAATATAAATATCTTATCAGATGATGATTGTATATTTTTAAGCATACGCTCACTGATATTTACAAGAACAAATAATGTTTATGACATTTTTTAACATTTAAATATGAAGAGTACTAGTGATGATAGTATCATTTTTATGAATACATTAATTGATATTATCGCATGTACCGGTGAAACAAAATATTATATTTAATTTGTATTACATTCAAGCATTAGAAGCATGGTGGATTAGTGGTTATGTCATTTGATTTTAAACCAAGAGGTGGTAGTATTGGTTCATCTCCAAGATATTAATTGGGCTTTAATTTTGTCAGCCTTATAAGAGCATCCTACATCACCTTTGAGATAAAACCTTCACCATTCTCACATTTTATATAAATGAGTTAAGTTTATGGCTTTTAACCCACATTTTTGAGGAGTCTCACATTGTTGTGGATGAAAAATCTGGCGCTCCTCATCTCTATATAAAGTTTCTCAAGAAATGATCAGCATTCATCATCCGAGTCAAAGTAACTCACTGAGTTACCTGAGTTTTAGTAAAAAGGGAAAAAATCTGACAAAAAACCGCAAAAAAAAACCGCATAAAAACCGAACAGTACGGTTTCTAAACTTCAAAAAACCGAAGTTGCAATTTTCGGTTCGGTTTTGGCTAAAAACCGCAACAAACAGCACCATGCTCACCCATATATATATATATATATATATATATATATATATATATATATATATATGTGTGTGTGTGTGTGTGTGTGTGTGTGTTCTTAATTATGTATGTATGTTAACTCTTCGGAGCAAAATAATCATTCATCAGATCCTATTTTGAGATGGTTGTTGGAGTAACTGTGTTTTAATCTCAGTGTGTATGTGTTTTTGAGGAAGAACACGATCAAGGTGAATAACAAGAGAGAGGGATTTGAGTCTTGTAGCGGGTGGATGAGAGAGAGAGAGAGAGGGGAGAAAGAGAAAAAGTGTTAGGGGGACTCTTTTATTGTTTTAATTAATAAAATTTTAAAATAGATATTAAAAAAATAAAATGATATAATAGTCATTTTAATTTTAAGAGAGACCATTTCCACATAGAAACATGGCCAAAATGACCACGAAGCCAAAAAAAAATCGAGGTTTGGACGAAAACCCATAAAAAATGCATACCACATGGACTATTTTTGCAGTTTTGTCTATTTAAAAATAAGAAGGGCCTACATCCAACCCCACTCCACCCCACCCCTTTTTATGTATATGTTGTTGGAATAGGTGTCTAAGCCAATAACTAAATTGGTATATATACTTTAATTATTAACAAAGTCATTTTTTGTTGCCCTCAAACCTGGTAATTGAATGGGATAACTTTTAGAGAGAGATTAATTTATTGATTTATTATATGGTTAATAAATAGCAATAAATTATTTATTAATATATTATGAGAATAATATATTAATTAGAAATAGTATTAGTTAATTTAGAATTAATTGGAAATCAATTAGAATTAATTTTGGGATTAAATCGATTAATTAATACTACAAGGACCTACAGGTTGCGAGCCTGCTAGCGTTCCACTGGACTGTCTAGAAGAGTCTGTGGTCGTCATCTATACTCCGCTAGATGACTGGATCACCAACAACATCGAGGCATCTCCTCATTTTATCACACATCGTCTTATTACATTTACCCATGTTTTACCCCAACATTTTTGTAGATATAAAATACATATACAGTTTAAATCATGAAAAACGTGTATAAAAATCATTCATCCAACATAGACAGCAAGTATTCAGATAATATGCACACAAAAGCATGTAATTTATATAAAATACTTCATATCTATGTGTAAGATGAAAGTAACTATGCACTCACCTGATTAGGTGATGACTCGGTACTTGAACAGCGTTTCGTTATCTCAAAACAATTTTTCCTTGACCAAAACCTAGTATCAATACCAGTAGAGTTTAGTTTTAACGTTAACCGTGACTAATTAATAGTCTAGCTATTATTATTATTATATAAGCGTTAAATAACACCCAATATATCTCACAATAATAACTCAAATAATTATTTTAAGGACCTAATAACATTACTATAATTATTTAAAAGTTATATTAAAAATTGCGTAGGCGTAGCTCACTTACAGCAGATTTTAAAGAAAACTGGGCTTTGCTCGGAGCAGCGTTTCCGAACCGAAATACCCTTTTTCTCGGAACTCCGGGAGCCTCAGGGATTCCTTTGGGTGCTAGGGGTTTTATCTAGGGTTTAGGGGAGTTGGAATGGGTTAGAAAGAGAAAGTATTTAGAGAGAGAAGTGGAAATGTGTGAAAAATCCGGGCAATCTCGCATGGTATTTATAGGGTCGGAACTTCGGACCTACGCAGCGCGTTCAGCAAGTTACGCGGGGCGTAACTTCGGATAGGGTTGCCAGCTTCGCACAACTGGCTCGCACTCGCATCGGACCCGGATAAGACCAAGGTACGCTGGGCGTACCCAACCTCGGACGCGGGACGTAGAGCGAAGGCGAGGCGACGTGGCGTTCATCGGATACGAGACCGTGGGGAGCAAGCAACGGCTAGGATCTTGCCACGTCATCACAGTTTCGCAAATTGCACACTTAACTTCTAAAAATCATAACTTTTGCATACGAGCTCCGTTTTCGACGTTATTTATATCCACGCGTAGGCGGGAACGTACTCTACAACTTTCGTTTAGACTCCATCAGCTAGTTTTGAATTTATTTTAAAAGTTATATTTTTAACAGGCCGGGACAGGATTGGTCTGTTAAAAATTCATAACTTCTTCATCCGACGTCCGTTTTTGTCTGTCTTTTCATCGTTATGATACTATTAACGAGATCTTCGATTCTCATTTAGGTTGTGTCGGCTAAAAACCGTTCGATCTAATATTCGAACTTCGGGCTGTACACTGCTAAGCCGAAACTTCGAAAAATCATAACTTCCTCATACGAAGTCAGATTTGGGCGTTCTTTTTATGGACACTCTCGGTTTAACGTTTTCTACGACTTTTGTTTAGATCGCTAAGGCCAAAACTCGCTCTATCGTAAATTCACTATTTACGTTTCCCGGTGTCGTGTCGGTTCCGTCGCGAGACTTCGACGGGTCATAACTTCTTCGTTATAACTCGGATTTCGGCGTTCTTTATATCTCCGGAATCCTTGTTTCGACTACTACAACTTTATGTAAAGATATTGGGCTTATCTCACACTTTAATTTTGACGCTTATTTTTATTCTTTATTTATTATACATTTATAAATAAATAATAAGCATATAAATTCACATAATTCACATAATACTCAAATATTTCATCTTTATTACATCAAAAGAGTTACAATAGTTGACCTAGACTATTACATCGTCTAAA